TGGCAGTATATTTGGTAGTATGCATATTTTTTAGCTGGTTTGATAGCTCTTTGTATTTTTTTAGGAATATAATTTATATAATTAAATATATGTATTTTTTATTTACAGTATATTATTATTTACTTACACGCAAGACCGCGAATCCCGGAGGGGGGAACGCCTCAACCCCCCCGCGGGCGACTTTGTCGGTAATGGAATAATAATGTGATTTCTCTCACAAGATAATTACTATTTTCGGTTTGGTCGTTTCCAGAAACCAGAGGGCTAATAAATATTAAACAGTCATATTTTTTTTCCAAGGACATTACAAATTTCTCCCCAAAAACACGGTCGGCTCTTCCGAGCACCTCTTATAATGTGGGCTTGCATTATTTTCTACTTGAGTTTTATTTTATTTTTTACTCCATGCAATTAACGTTAATGCGTCGACTTGGGTTAAACGGTTTGCCGTCTCGAGTACAATAATTAAAATAACTCGTCCATTCTAGTTTGAAGGTTTTTCTTTTTCCAATACTTAAGCGCGCGCCTACTTACTTTTATATAAGCGACTAAAAAACCAACAAAAAAACCAGCTCTACTTAAAGTTTTTAATCGTTGATCCGGTTACTTTGGCGGTAGTTTAGTAAACGCTGTCTTCCCACGTTCGTTGTGTGCGCTCTCAATTGGGGAATCGACGGAACCGCAACAATAAGTTAAAATAGTCAAAGTTTGAGTTTTGAAAATAAAAAAAATGTACGGTTTTTATTTTTTTAGTCACGGAATACTCGAGTGCTTGTCGATGCTACTCATGCTTAGAGAATAAAGACCGCCGTAACACAGCCAGAATAGCATTATAAAACATAATATTATTATTATAACGTTGACAACCAGTCCCCTCATACGTCTTTGAATTATAGCTGACAGATTTTTTGACGTAAACCATTTTTTTTTTAATATTATTATTCGAATATCGAGCCCGAACGGTTGTCTGAAGGTCAATGACCAGGTCACTTAAGTCTTCAGAAATCATCATGACGGAAAGTGGCGTCTTAAATACTTTTCGATCTATATATTCTATGTATCTATACATTTCTTAGTGTTTTCCTAAAGACCGCAAAGTGGCCGGCATACTATACTGGCATTACGTTGGGTTTCAACAGAATAAAATTAAGTCAGATAAATAAACAGACACTATATAGCAAGGCACAATGCAGGCCAATAACGTGATGAAACACTGGTTAATTAAATGCGTATCAATAATGAAATATTAGTTCAACGAATTTATCGCTTTATGGCAACAAGGAAATCATTATGAACGTTGTGTAGTTTACAGAACCAGAGGAATAATACCAACTAAAAGCCTTAAAAAAAAGATCATTATCGGTGTAACGTGGTTAATCGGAATAACATATTATACGTATTGTATTGTTTCTGTTGATTGACTAATTCATAGAAGTCGACAATTATTGTACGATTGTCCGGAAACTTCTCGGTTTATTTCCAAAAAATAGTATTCTTTTTTATCTTAAGATTTTAGTTTGGAGAAATCATTATTTCCATGATTTTATGACTCTTGACCAATGTAGTTAAGTAACAGCTCAGTCCAGAAAAGGGGTTTTGAACACAATAAAAGTGTATGTAAGAAATACTCACAGAAAGATAAAATTACATATTTTTTTATTTATTTATTTAAGACTCTAAACGCAATAAATCCATAATTTATAACAGTATCAGCTCTTATTATGTTTTATTATTTCGGTCGATTACAGCATTTATGGCGTATATTATACCGATATGCCGAAACAAAGGTCGTGTAAAGCGTTTATAAGGAAAAAAATCACGTATTGCGTCTGATTTTGGTACCAAACGAAAGTGTAATTATTATTATTATCACATTAATATTCTGTTATTATTTTTCTGAATTATAAGAACGGTTAACGGTGTGTATGTACCAACTATGCACGTGCCCAAGTCCATTAGTTGAACACGATCGTATCCAACTACACAGTATTACAATATTGAACAATACCATTATAGTAGAAACGATTCGAAAACAAGTCCGCTCATTGAAGCACTCGAGTAAAAAAAATGTTGTCTAAAAAAACAAAAATTAATTCGGTTTTGACTTTTATTACTGACATGTTTTATTATGCGTGTCTTGTCAATTCGGATTGCGAAAAAGGATGCACAGCTTTTATTATTCGGTTTGTCGTGAGACAAGATGGCGATATTTATAAAGTACCTACTTGGAAATGAAATAGCCCTCGCCATCTCAAGATGCACATGATAATATTATACATTATGCTCATTAATATTTTTTTTTTGTACACGCGCCTCATTATAATAATTCCGTCAAATTATTATCATTGCACTCAGCGATAACCATCTTCAGCTGGTTATTGCCCACCGTCTACCTGAAGCGGAAATTGTTAATCTATCGTTGTACCCAAGTAAGTCCTAACAGTACAATGCGTGGCAAATCATAATTATTATCGATAGGGAGGTCGATTGCCATCGTATCGACATACGAGATAGGTATCATTGGAAAATAATTATCATCTTGGACTTTTTACTCTAAAATTACTCAACACACGGTCGACATACATACGATTGCTATCGTCGTACCCATCTGTGCGTAATGAATCGTGAAAACAAAACAAGTATTTCATAATAATAAAACTTTGTGGGAACAGCACAAATGTATAGTGGGTACTGATAAAGAAACGGGTTCCAATGAGAGTGTGAATTCTTAAAGGAGTTAAAAAAAATCCCACTCAACAGCTAATACAGCATAATTTAATTTTCAAAATATACCATTAATTTATGTCATTTTTTTTCTTCTAAAACTAATTAACAATAATTTTAGTTGCAGCCGAATTAAATTATAATAAATTAAAACTACATTTTTTTATTGATATTTTGTATTTTTTTCTATTCTCATCTTACTTTACTTTTTATACTAACGTTGAGTATAATGTAATATTTACACTTTAGCCGGTGGTTGCGTTTTCTCTTTATATTATTAGTAATTTTTTATTATTACCTAGAGGCTCATAAGTTTCAAAAATGATCTAATAATGAAAAATAATTAGGCAATAACTGACTTACAAATTTTACATAGGTGTATTAAATATTAACACCTAAATACCTAAATGTACCTAAATACAATTGATTAAAACTATTAAAATTTCACAAAAAAAAAAAAAATTTCTTAAAAAAATAAATATATATTGTATTGGATTTTCTAAGGATATTTTCAAAAAATGTTGGTAATTTTTTTTTAAATGCTATAATATTTTGGATACTTAATAATAGACTATTCATATTAGATTAGGCATATGTTTTTGACCGCAAAACGATTTAGGTGTAGACGAATCTATTCCAGCTATAATTAAAAAAATTCAAAATGAATCGACTTTCGAGCTTTTGTTTTACCGATCAAATAGTATAATTTGCTTTATTCATTGGTTGTAAAATAATTTGTTTAAACTAACAAACGATACGACAAATCTAGCCGTTGCACCTTCCGTTTTCCCATTTGCGTCCAAGGTTGGCTCCAAAAGTTTTCTACTGAAATAATTGCAATAGTATTAAACGATAATTAATCATAATATGCAGTAATTTGTTTTGTAACTTTGAGTTGAGAATTACAATTCTATTTATTCAATGCTGTCACGCGTAAAAGAAACCATTTGTCTTCTTTGCAATTTTTACGATAGATTTCCACTGTGTAGTGTGTACAAAATTCATTAGTATTGTTTGTATTGTATACATCAAACAATGAGCAAATCATAATATAGGCGATTATCCAGTGACCGTTTTTACGTCAAAATATCATTCATCAAAATATGATTAAAATATATATGAAAAAAAAATGAAAATACAAAAAGATAGTATCACGTTTCTGTCGCCTACTACTTTTTTTTTTGTTGGTCATAATTTATTCGTTTAGACGTTGTGCAATCGCTGTATAATAAGACTGCGTGTGGTAATTTTGTAGGTGGCCGTTATAAATTGTACTTAGGTCTCTGTGCTTTTTTTGCGTGCAATTAATTATCACTACAGACCGTTTAGAACGTCCTCAGATTCTATACAGTCGACCCACACGAGGGGCGTATCGATCGAGACACACTATAGTAATGCGCAACACTACACGATTTGTGCCCAATCTGCAATCTAATAAAATTAAAATAAAAAAACTTGTTTTTGAAATACCTGGTAGTCGATCGCCTGATGCAGACATCTCTATTTTGATGGCACTCGATTATTTTGCCATGCAAATGAGATATTTCCAAAATGCTCTCGATATACCAACGCCTCTTCTATATGCATCTAAAGTAGTGCAAGGAATGCGGTTAGAGCAGACTGCAAGAGGGGAGTTCACTTCCCCATCTCCTAAGCCTTAGGGTAGGTTTTTGGCGATATGTCGTTGATTGAAAATAATTTCCAAAATGTTTAATACCGAACGGGCTTTAGGACAAATAAGTTATTTTAATTACCTCTTTTTGTGAGCAAGCGCTCGAGACATGTATTTTTACGACACTGTTAATTATATTAATGTGCCTTGTATTACTGTATTGGGTCTTTGAACCGGTTCTCGTGTTCTTCTGTTGTTATAAGTAAGTCGTTGGTGGCGGCGGATGGCCCACACGAAACCTTATGCATTTTTTTTATTATTATGTAAAAATACATATTATTCAACAGCAATAATAAATCTAATCTGGTGTGTAACAATACGGAACCCGAACGACCACAACAATCAAATACTAACACATTTTTAGTATATCCTATAAAAAGAAATCCATAAAAAAAAAACTTCTTCTTTAATCTTTTTCCTTAAATAAAAATGTGTTCATTTTATCCATTTCCGTTTGAAAAGAGATTATACTGCGGCCTGCGCAGAAACTAAAACGCTTTGTTAACAGAGTCGGTATAATGTTGTAATATGGTCGTTTTGCTGATTTATGTGTAAAAAATTATTCATTTTTTCTAATATTGGTTTTTATTTGTTTTGCTTGCAGATGTCATGTCGACGGCCGACACGTTTTCGGACGAAGGAGTGACATCGTATTCGCAGCTGTTGTTCGACATAGCCAGAAAACAAGTGGTGGTCGGCGCGAGGTACGTACTTTAGTCCTAACCTTTATGGTTATACCTACTCAAGCAAGTTTGCACAGTACGCACTTATGTATATGCCATGTGTGTGATGTCCCGTACTTGTGGCTAATTTACACACACATACACAAACAACATGGTAGATAGACGTTTGGAATCGAAACGTAAAGTCCTTATATGTAGATTATAATAATCCCATAAATAATAATCGATGCAACTACTCGAAGAGAAAAAACCAGGGGAAAATTATACAATTATAAGCACTTTGGCAGCAGATTAGAGATTTACTGTTTTAAGACAATTTGGTATTTATTTAATTGTACGGATGTTATTCTGTTTCTTTATTTTTTTCAATAAAACGGTTGTTTATCTTAACGTGCGCTACCTATGTTTAAATTAGTATTTTATCGAGAAATATTGACTCATTCCGTTAAACGTTGTGATAACTGATAACCTTCTCGTAACAGCCGAAACCTCGAATTATATTGTAGCCTATACTATAATATCGTATAATAGTACAAATAAAATGTGTAATGTACACAATATAATAATAATCATTTTTTAGAACCATCCCATCTCCTCGGCGCATTACAAATAATTGTTCAGCTGTCCGAACTCGTCGTCAATACACTCCCAACAAGTTCTTTTCGGGTGAACGTCTACAGTATAAAAAATCTTGTAAATTCTATTATAACGTTGTTAATACCGTTTAATGGTCTTATGCGTTGCCCTCGTTGAAAACATTACAAGAACACGATATGTGTATAGATTTTGTGTCTCGTCCCGTCACGTCTGCTTAGTAGTTAGCTGAAACGCGGGTTAGAATATTCATACAACGGGCGGTTCTACACAATATAGTGCTAGTATTATAAGTAATATACAAAAGAAGAAAGTCAAGGGGAAATAAAACTATAGTCAGGTATTATTATTGTTATTATTACCGTCACGGACCGATCAATTATTACAATCTGATTTAATTCTCGGTTCATGTTACTCGCGTGATAACTGCAGCTGATTGAAAACGTATCGATAGACAAATGAAAATAATCATGATGTTATGCAATCTGTCCGTATTCACGAAGGAGAAAATAAAAAAAAATTGTTATTTCAACTGGTACTATCTGAAATTATAAGTCTAAAGTTCGTTCAATCGACGAAAAGGCGCTAATCGGTTTTTTTGATTAAAAAATACTATTATTATTATAATAAACACGTTTATTTTGTATAGGCGTATTATAAGTATTCGATTTTAAAAAAAATGTTGTCTCAATACGATTTGAATTAATTTAATAACACAATACATTCGAAACGAATTCAGTTATTTTTTTTGTGCAATGATGAATTTTTTTTTTTGTGTAGAGTGTAGACTACCAAAAACTTAATAACCACCTAGCCTATTACTTCCCACTACTTGCTACGAGACTTAAGGGTTTGGAAATTTAACTGTTTGTGTACTTAACACCATTCGTTTAGACCACCACGGCGACCTTACTGTGCTGGTTTTTTTTATAATTAAAAAAATACATTTTGACTTGTACTCCGCCGCGTGTCTTGCGGTCGTATGCGTCATAATATATTATGGTCTAATTATTGTAAATGTGTTGTTATTATTATATCGATGACCGTTGGAAACACATCGAACGAATTACGCACGCCGTTGCTGATAAGCGCCAAGTGTGATAATATTGTGAACACATAAAAAACCATTAAGGTGTTTTCATTGAACGACGTGTGGCCGATAACGAGCGGTTACACGCGGATATCGCACGGTCGCAGATCCTTTTTGAGCGTCTGCGAAGGAAAACAATGGACCGAAAAAAAATAATTTAATAATAAACCCAGTACATACTTACGGCCAGGAAGTGATGAATTTTTTTTTTTTGTTTACTTCAAAAGCCGACCGATTTTGGTTGGTACTTATTTTGAATATCGCTCGTGATTGCGAAAAACAATGAAGACCGTTTGAGTCGAATCGACCTTGGCGGTGGCGGCACGGCTTGTGCGCTACCATAAAGAGAAAAATCATTATTTTTTTTTTTTTTCAAAAGATAAGCGCAATATTTTTGTACTACCCACGACCGAAGACGTCGGTATCATATATTATGAATCCCGTATATTGTCCATTTTAACGTCTTTGATAAGCTCTTTATTGTTCATTGACGTGCAAAGGAAACGATTCAAACGAGAAGAAGAAGCTACGCAGTGTTATAACTTATAAAAGAATTAACAATGCAGTTGTGTTTTTCAATCTTGTTAGATCGACTGTTGTCTTATAATTTATACTTCCATGTGCTGCATGTATAATAATAATATGTCTTAAGAAGGGGGGGGAGTCCAATATATTATTGTATACATTTATAGAACTAACCGTCCTGAGGATTGTAGTGATATCTGTGGTACAGTATTGGTAAAGCGCTTTTTCTATAAATTGGCTTAGGTTCTAAAAAATGATCGAAAATCAACTGGGCAAAAGATACCTGGAAGTCATGGGAAACCATCTCTGCACAATATTGTCAAGACCTGTTAAAACCGTTAATAAGGGTTAAAGCAATTTACGGTGAATCTATAATACCTACCAAAATTAAAAATTTTTATTTATAAACAAATAATAATTTGCTTCTAAAGAATTACTTGAAATTAATATTTTTATTTAGTTAATTACTATCAATTACAATAATTTTTTAATAACTCGAATTTATGAAGAATATTTGTTTAAAATTTTTTTTTTTTATTTGATCACTAATCATATATGTTATTGTATGTAATTTAACTGTTTCAAATATTTTCGTATAAATATTTAATATGGTAAACTTACATATATTTCTCGAAATCGTTTTAATTACATATAAAATAAATAATTAGAAATTAAAATGTTAATATTATCATAATTTGTAATAATCGTTCCAAAAATGTTCATATTATCAAGATTATTTTCCCCGGACCTCAATAAAACCTTTAGAAAAATATTATAATTTCAAATTGCCACATAATGGTCTAGTAAGGCCAACAATAATGTGTAGTTGATGTAACAATTTTGCTTTATTCATCTTTTACATTTAATTGACTAATTCAGCTCCATACTCTCGTGACAATAAAACCATTGCATTGGTCGCCATGTTGTTAATTTTTTATCCCGGCCTTTGTAGTATTATGTGTTATAACTGTTACTTTACGGAATCATTCAGACTATTTGAATGTTACAAAAAATGTTTTTTATTATTAAGTCACGTCGTCTGTCAATAATAATTGTGTTCATGTGTGATCCAAAGGATAATGTTATAAAGCAATACAGATTTAAATCCTTGTAGCCAACAGTCGTGAAACCGTTTAAAAGTACATTATATTATTCATAACTCGTTACGTTCCGTCTGCAATTTAGTAGTATAACATCCGTCTTGATTTATCTTTTGCGGCGTCGGTAAAGAAACAATTATTTGCTTTTTTTATAGGCGGACAAGCGCAGGACAGAAAAAAAACGACTCGTTGTTAATAACTTGCTGCAAAGAGCCTATAAAACCATAAAAAATAAAATTGAAAAAATGGTTAAAGGTAGCTGTAAAAAAAAAGGATTGGGTTTCAGCGAAAGTACGAATGTTGTATTATGTTTGTAATAATTTGTGTATCTTCGTCGGTGCACTATTGATGTAATTTTCTACAGAACACCTGTAAACTCTCATTCGAATACTATATTAATATTTTTTTAATGAGTTTATATTTTGTTTAGCTGCTCTTTGACCCGTTTGCCCAGTCCGCCACGCATGTTATAGCGGTAATCTTAATTGCGCTGTTTTGTCGTAAGAGTTTATTCACAACTTATTCTATCAGCTACAAAGCGGTGTTATCATTTTTTTTTTTGCGTCTTACGGTATTGAACTTTAACTTTTTTCTTTCCACAATCAATCGGTTTATTGTAAAACATTTCATCAACCGTCGATTGATCCAACGTACAACACTTCAGACGGCAAAGCATACTGTGTATGTATACACTCTTCAGATAATAATATGGAACAAAGTCTTTGGGCTGCAAGATGTGGGGTGTACTGTTAGGTACCTCTTCCGTCTTACAGCATCTCTCGAGAACTATTTCCGGTTGCGACGCCCTTAGTAGTATAGTTTACCAACACCACCACACATGGGTAGATGCCGTAGTAAGGGTTTTTATAGTAATTAATAATAATGTTATGCTCGTTACAAACGGCAGACGTCGGACCAGGGCTTGGGATATTTTTAAGTTTATATACTCACATTATAAAGTGATTTTTATTAATAGAGTATTCGTAGCGGTGTCCTCCCTGTACGATTAGTAATCAGTCGCACGTGTGGACGGATCCTCACGAGCAGCATACATAATTTATATCAAAATCAAAACGCGTACATTAGTATTATAATATATCATATTTTTTTGTTATTTTTAGTTTGTTAGTCGAACGAACTGCTCGGTCACAACAATATTCATAGTTAAGACCCTGAACCCAGCTAGCCTATCAAAAGTGAAGTGGTCTAGCCATTTTTTTCTCGAAAATTTAGATTATCGGTTCAAGTGAACATTTAAACGAATCTCGGTCAGCTGTTACATTTACAACCAAATTTGCACAAAACGATACTTTATTGTCTCATACCTACACACCTTTTGCTCTTTTCCACTAAATATTTTTCAATTTTTAATTTTTGTTACCCCAAGCATAGTAGGTTCTCTATCTCCACTATATTTTTATTTGCTAATTATAATGTCTAAAATTAACATTATGGATTGCAAATAAAAATGAAATCCTTATAAAAAATTGTATTTTTGCTCTCTATTATACCGAAATGCAATAACACTTTCATTTTATTACACTTGAGGAGAGAGTGCGTTCTATAATCTAAAAAATAAACCGAGAATAATAATAAATTGTAAGTCGAACAATAGTGAAATTGAGCTTCTAAGTACAGTTTTGTCCGGATCGCCGACGGGTCGTTTGCCGGTGACGACAACGGCGTAGCAGGAGATAATAGCTTATTATATA